AGCTGGAACACGTCGGGCCAACAAACAGATAGGCTGGCTCCTCCTGGGCAACCTGTTGTGCCAAGTGCAGGAGACGTATTCGCTTCCAACGTGCTTTAGCGGACTCATACCATACCCACAGTGCAAGACTTAATCCTAAAATAAACCCTATAACCCCACTTAACCATACCCAAACCCCAAACCAGACTGGGTCGCGACCCTGGGCACTGACAGGCTGGATGATCGCACAGACTAGCAGCTTGAACAACAGTGGTCCACCAGGGATGTACAGGCTCTTTAGCTCCACTTTATCCTCCTTGGCGTGGCTGACGGCGGAAATGCCGGTGCAGCCCATATATTGCAACAGACTACACAAGCGACTCATCGGGAGAGTCTTGGTAAGACAGTCCCCTAACATGTAGGGTCCTGGTATGTGCATTACGTCCAAGGATCCTTCGTCAACGCGCTCACGAATCGCATGAGATCGGAGTCTCAAATGACGGGTGCGCCAGGATCCTGCGGGAAACGTAAGGATCGCTGCACATGCTACGTTGTCACTAAAGAGGCCTACACGAAGATTAAGACCCGTAAGTTCAGAAATTAGGGGTTCTAAGGCTTGGCCCAGGGACATACCCTCCGTGGAAGCAACAAGCTCGCTTTCGCAAGTAGACAGTGCAACATACGGCTGCTGCACACTGATCCAAGCCAGCGGTTGGAGGTTCAGAGTTATCATCACTCCCGTCTGCGAGCGGGCATCAGCCTGTGCAAAAGAAGCATCGGCCCAAATCTGAAAGACATCAGGCGCTGGATGGACAGGAAGCTCGTCCAGCATGGACTTGGGCACAACAGGGGTAGGGCAGTAGCAGATTGCGAAGTCTATTGTGGCCAATAGATATTGCAGCACATGCTTTCCTAAACCTAATGCTTGTGAAGGGTAGCGCGCAGTCATTCTGCTGATGCGGTTTACGTGAAAGGCTATATCCGGGCGTGTTCGCCCAGCCACCCATGTTAACTCGCCAATAATTCTCTGAGCGGCATGGATGGCCTCCGGACACGGTTGCTCATCCAGAGGCTCGCCACGGAATTCTGGCAAAGCTGCTTTTGGAACAAGTTCAGGGTAGCGGTCCCTGAGCTCACACAGGTAAGTGCGCTGGTGGATCTTGATTACATCTTCCACCTGTTCAATTTGCAGCCCACAAAAGCACAACCCTCCCTTCTGAGATATGTACTCAGGCTTGGACGTTTGCCACAGAGACTGGAGTGCAGCAAGCGCAGCGTCAAGATGGCCCTTCTCAGACATCACCAGGAGATCATCAACGTACACCCCAAGTGTACCGACTGTGACCGCCTCACAAGTAATGAGCCAAAGTGACACATCTGACTGGCACTGGTTTAACGACACCCTTTTGCCGCCGCAAAGCCAGGACAGCGTCTTGAGTTTGCCGTCTCTGCTTACCCCCCACGATTTGGGAGATTCTTGGAGGCCATACAAGGCACCTTCCACTTGGATCCAGCTGCCCGCTGGCCTGCAAGTACCATTACACGTGGCACGCGCACCAACACCACCCTTTTCTTGCTTTCTTTGCGCTGAGCCCTGGGAGGCTGGTATGGCGCGGTCAAAAACGCGGTTTTGACATCGATGGTCGCACCGATCCAGCCGTTGTGTGCCGCGGTGGCGATTTGCGACCGGAGGGATATCGTGTCCAGCCCCGCGGAGTATATGTCTCTCCGGTCTAAGGTTGGACTTTTTCTCTCCTTGGGCCTTTGCAAATAGTTCCCGCAGGCAACCACACGACACTTCTGGCGACGGATCGTCGCTACGATCTTACCCGGGATCTTCACTATATCGAGATCCGGGTTGGATTCAAGACGATCGGCCTGTTCGTTGCTTATCACGGTGCCAGCTCGGTGTTCGGTCGTAATCGATTCCAGTTCCGCGCCTAAAGTGGGAGTCCATCTTTGGATGTTCGCAGCAACCTCGGCTACCGGCACGATCTTCGTTTGAAGAACATCTTCAGGCTCGGCAACGTTAACAGCCCGCAGTGCGATGTCATGAGGCGACGGAGGGCCTTCTCCTGGGGTATCCCAACTCCAGGCTTCCACCCCCTCCATTATCTGCTCAAGGCTGGAGAGATCTCGATACATCTCAGCAAGATGGGAAGCCGTTGACTCTGCCACTTGCGATGCCCCACCTTGAAGCTCCTTTGCCAGGGCAGTTTCCTGGTCACGCACCGCACTCAAGGCCGCCAATCTGATGCCGTCTAGGAACTTGATGGCTTCATCAGATTCCCTTCATCGCTCAGCTTCAGCACACTTTCGTCCACTACTTCTATTTCAGGCAAGGGGATCCCCGAAAACCACCTAGTATCCTCGCTAACCGAGTCCTCAAACAACCCTGCTATGCCTTTCGGAACCCTTGCTGGATCAAGGTCCTCCTGCCCTTCCTTACAGTTGCCAAGAGCACTGAGACGCATCTCAGATAAGGCAATGACATCCGCCGGATGCACCTCATCTTCATCCAAGACTTGACAACCGGCCGCCTGGTATCCTGCTGCACGCACTGCAGAGGCACTAACCTTACCAGGGCCAACCAAATTTTCTTTATAATGCCCTACAACACCAACACTTCCTTCTTCAACAACAGTCCCTAACACAGAAGGCATGGACTCCCCCTGTGATTGCATCACATGAATTGCCTTCTGCGCTGCAACTGCACCTGACTGTTGTGACGC